CTTCAGCAACACTTTTGCATCCTCTTCCCTTCCACTGGTAATAAATGAATGCACTGGGGGAGAAAGTTCTCGACCTAGTAGTGCTGGTACTCCGCCTCAGGCTGTGGCGGGCCGCAGTGCACTCACGCAAGTTCAGTGCGATTTCGCTCCGAGGGTATCGATTTCCTTTGATGCTCAAGTGCATGCACGTACATGCACGCACGCACACGCGCACGCTTTGCTATCCCGCATGACTGTGCGCCATCAGGCCAGCCTCCCGATTCAGCTACTCAACGGTCCTTGTGTCACGGAGCTGCGGTCTATTTCTAAGCGCCTGCATACTTGCGACATGAAATTGTTGCATCCCATGGGAGTCAGGGGGAGGAGAGGTGCGAGTCCATTGCATGACTATGTAGCACACGGTTACTGGGGTCCGTTAGCGTGGTAGTCCACATGTCAGTGTTTGTGGGTTTACGATTTTAAACTGTCTCTTGTGGTACTTCCAATAATCACCAAGTCACTTAAGTCCCCTCCACATCTAGTTAGGAAATGGTTTCAGCAAGGTAAAATGTAAACGTCCTACTTTGCCTGTTTTATTGAGTTTGTCAATACGCAACATGGTAGAACATGCTCCACATTAGGAAAACTACAACAGGGATTCTAAAGGTAGTTACTCAAAAAATCTGACTCGATGTTTATCCAACCAATATAAGCAAAGGAGGCCGTAGAATCCGCAACAAATTATTGGTTTTGTACAAAATTAGGCGAATGAAAGAATTGTATTTAGACGGTATGTTGAAAGGCGAAGGTATGTATTGGCGAAGGCTAAGCCCTTTTATTTAGAACATTGATTTTGTCAGACATCCTACAAGGGGTGTGTGTGAGCTTTATTTGGATTGGTAGAGTGATTTGTCGGTCAAAATCAATGCTCTGTGGGCAAGCTCTACTGGTCGATATCAGTTGGCTGTATCTGTGGTCGAACTGTAAGATTCCAGTTCCATCCACCTTCTATTCGGTAAATTGTGGTTATATGAGGCATGTTTTGTGGGAGAGTAGATAGAATCCCAAAAAGATTAATCAACGCTGAAAATCAGTAGTTTTTCTCTAGTGCAGTTGATTGAGATCTCTGTTGATGACAGATGTGGAGATGCCTTAATGCAATACTCCCAAATTTTTCCCCCTACAAATGTTCCTGCTCCCCGAGGCAACAATTATTTTTCAAAACCTCCTTTACGAGATTGCAGATAATTTGAAGTGTTTTTAAGTAAAAGCCTAACATCGTTATTGTTACCCATCTCTGTGGAGTTATTTATTGTTTCAGTCCAGATTCTCGGACAGAAACACGCAAACTCGAGTAGCGGCGCATACGAAAGCATTCCTTCACGTGCAATCCCCGAGACCATGGACTCCTAGGCTGGGGATTCTAAGAGGAATGAGTAGGGGTAAGCCAATTCCTTGTCTATCCACCTTGCTTAAGAAAAGGAAACAAAGGAGGATTTAAACACCATCTCTTGCCTACAGGTGTTATAAACTGTCCTTTTTTCTATCCCTCTTCCCCTGCGTAACCCTAGTTCCACTCCTGTTGTGAGCGATTCCAACAAGTGTTGAAGGTTCTAACTTACGCCTTTTGTATATTAATGAAGAAGAAACACAATCCCAACTTTGTCCTCTGCAAGACAAAGTGCGGCCATGATTACGTAACTGAGTTTAGTATGGAGTTAAGTTAGTCCTTCCCATTCGTAGAATGTTCAGCCGTGGTAGACCATAGAACTTCAATTTGTTCAACAAAAAGGAATGACATTTTTCAATTAATCCCTTTATTTTACACAGTTAGTTTTCTATTTTACAGTTTTGTTCACTGCCTGAATTTGAACAGTTTCACGTGTCGCTAAAACTGTTTTACTAATCGACGTTTCACTTGTCTAGTTGAAATTCCAGACTTGTCGTTATTTGCAGCATCAACTCATTTATTGGCGCCAGAATTCCTGCTCAAGTCTGTGGCTTCCCACCCTTACTACATGCTCCCCTACCTTGTCAATCTGTGGAAACCAACACCAACAGACCTGTTAAAGCCACATCCACTTTCAACAATCAATTCAGCTAGCAATTAATAAATAGGATGAGCAATCTATAAACCGGACTCATGTATGTGCCGCAGTGTCCACATGAGGATGGATGCTCCGAGCAGTTGAATAGGACCAAGATTAGTTGCTCTGCTGTAGTGACGCGACAAGGAAGAATTGGTGCAGGCTATCAGCCTCGCAATGCTAGTTTTAGCATATAACTCAAATTCTAGGCATACGCAGGTCACTCAATACAGAGCGCTTTCAAGCTTTGATTACTGGAAGGATGCGGGACTTTGCGAAGTTATAAACAAGGAGCGTGGAACGGTAAACCCATCAGAACCTATGAAATGTGTTCGTGATGTTGTAAGCAAATGTCTGTATTTCCGTTCAAATTTAAAACAAAATGAATTATTGTGTATATTGGTTAATGGGGATGGCCGATTGGTGGGGTGTTAAGGTTGATATAACAGGATGATATCATCATCCTCTTGATGTCAAGGCACCAACCTCTGTCCAGATACTCTGCACGTCAATAAGAACTCGTTCCCTTAATTGCTTTACCACGCACCACAAGCAAGTGGTGCAATGAAGCATCGCTGCTGAAGCCTTTCCGCCGTGGAATGTACTTAATAGGCCCTTTTGGAACTCACTAACGTGTGGGATTACTGATGTCCACAGCCTTTGGGGAGCTTTACAAAACAACGGGAATGGGTGCTGTTTACTGCTCCTTGAGGCTTTCCGGCCTACTACAACGCTATCCACTGATATCAACTGCCCTTCGGAAGGTAGATAGAACAATAAAGATGTGCCGGATTCGTCTCCACATGGCACTGTCGTTGCACCAAAACTTTCACCACTGGCTGCGCACGGTGTTAATATTTCCGTTTCGCAAGGTATGGGGTCATGTACGTTTAACCTTAAGAGTGGCTGAGGCATTCGTTGCATGTAATTTTGCCGCAAAATATCAGTTTAACTTGCCGATAAATCGGGCCGATTTGATTAAATTGTGGAGGTCACTTTTTATGATGTCACTTCCACAACAATAATGCTTGGTGCTCAATAATGTGTCTTGATACCAAAAAATAAAAAGTCTCCAAACTTGAATTAAATTTTGTCTAGTAAAAGAAGCCAACTAGTCAAAGAAATGTAGTTATAAACTTTCTCCTTTAATTTAATGTCGGAATTATGGAATACAATGAAATGGTTGACTCCCAGTTTTCCATCCCATGCCTCAAATATTAATCGTTCAAAAACATGATCACATATTATGTAATCTTGACAGTTAACAAGTGATAAGTAAAAATAAGTGAGTAGCATAAACGTTTTGATGGAATACATAGAGTCGGACGTATAGGCAGCTGTTTGGTAGTTAAGGGTAGATTGTGGAAATGGTGGCATTACAATGCCTGATGCATGTGTGAGCAAGGAATGACCACCCACAAAAAAAACACCCCAAATAGCATTAGGTCATCCGAATAGCGACAGGAGTCGCGATCTTGAGTCGGAACACAGCCCACTGCCAGACCGCAAACACCGCTACCTGCTCAGTCAACTACCTCGGGAGGGGTACAATGGTGGGATCACCGTCAGTGACGTCTTGTCGAACCACAAAACCAATTCTCGATTTCAGAACTTAGCTTATTTCAGTGTTGTGTTAAAATTAATAAAAGCCTTAACTTAGTTTATCCCTAAATCATATACAATACCTATTAGATGTATTCGGTTTAGTCTCTCAGCCGCAAACTCGCAATAGAAAAAGAGGCTACATAAAATCTTAACCCAAATTCGGATGCCTTTGCTTATTTATTCCAGTGCAACCACTTGTTGATCTGTTCGTGACAGAGGACAAAATGCTCTTGTCGTGGGAGAGTTTGGGCTTAACAAATTGTCATGCGCGTTGATCATTGAGGTGTTAGTTATTGGGCTTTAAAGTTCCAATGGTCGTCGCGCATGTGATCGTATATGAATCGCCATATGCTGACCACAGAAGGTTTGAGAAATTAGTACAGAACTTATAAAGCGTCATCACAACTCTTGGTTGGACCAACCCTCCTACAGCAGTGCAATTGAGTCTATGAAATATACTGACAATTGGAGTACATGTTGGTTATCCATTGGATCTCAACTATCCTCAAACAAGTATGCCTCCACGTAGCCATTCAGTAGCTGAAAGCATACCAAATTATAGCTCTGTGGAGCCACCGTTTTCGCTACCAAACATCGGGTAATAAAGAAGGGTAGAAATGTGCTATAGGCTTCAAATTCCAATTTCCATTTGTATTTTGCAAAACATAGCTGAGATCATCATAGTTGACACAGCATTGCAGTACTGATGAGTAGCTTGTATTGCAGACCTTTAATCTATATGATGTTTTGAAGTTGAGGCTTGCCTGACATCATCAGAGGACTCAGAACCGTTCACTTAGGCAAGACAGCGGGAAGGTAGGATTAAACTTGATCATACCTAATTCATCATAAGTAAATAACAACATTTCAATGTCAGTCTTAAATTTCCAGAACACCGCTCCGATGCTCCCAGACTGCTACCTTTTCTCCGTCAATTACGTGGCACTGATCTGCTTTCAGGAGAACTAGGAAATATCAGTTTCTATGTGTAATAGAGGGATAACGCCATTTGCACAGCAACGGCCATCACTCAGGCAAAAACTCCTTCACAGGGAGTGGATGAGAATCTCTGTAACCTGAGCAGGGCCTAAATGCGAACACATCCAAGGTGGACGAAAAAAAAACACAACGACGTAATATGATAGTCAGGGATTAGGACTGCATTTCTCACCTCAACTCTATCCCTTCCCATAGATTTCATTTTAAAAAAGTGTTTGGAAAATCCCAACATTTATAGTTACTGCAGCATACAAAGGTTATAAAACAGTAAAAATGACCTGTACATTTGAACGTTTAGGGAATAGAACTACATACTAACAAAGGCCTAATCTATGCGTCGAGAGGAGGTGTGCTAGCAGGGAAGATAGGCTCTTCTGGCCCCATGGGGTTGGACTCCACCGGAAAGGGTTCTGGAGATTTTGTTGTGTCCTCAGATCCAATAGACTGAGTTCCGTTAACCATGGATCCTGAATTTTCTTTTCTAATTGGGCATTGGTGGTTTCTCGTCTTCTTTTCATCGGCGTTGCTCTCCTGTTTTACGTCCTCCACCCTGTTTTCAGTTACAACTACACGACTGAGGTAATCAAGACTTTCTGAGGATGTTAGCCGTACTCGGATGTTCGCGCGTGCCGAAACTCCCGGATGAGTTGTTTCCATGTGACGCATGAGGTGATCTTTACGAAAGTACGCTCTTTCACACAGACAACATTCAAAGGGCTTAAATCCCACGTGTTTTAAGGCATGCCTCTGCAAATTTGAACGCTGGGTAAACTTAGCATTGCATATGTGACAACGATAAGCGCCATGTTTGGCAGTGGTGTGTTCCTCAAGATCTTGGAGAGATCCAAACACATTTTCGCACTGATTGCATGTAAACTGACGCGTTGAGCTTGACCTCCGCACATTAGTAGAGCCAATGCGCCTTCGCTTCGCAGGTCCCGAGACCCCATCACAGGAATCTTGATCTGCAGTGGTCAACATTGTAGGCGCAGATCCAAATACATTTTGCTGGGTTTGGTAAAGATTGACAAGGTTACTTTGCTGTAACAACGTCACTGGATTGAAGGGAGAACTTTGAGCCACAGGTGTTTGTTTCAGTTTTAGTGGGGTTACCTGAGCAGAGGGAACGGAAGAAAAGCCTTTTGATAGGTCAAGGGCGCATGGTTCTGAAATCGACGGTGTAGTACATCCAGAGAGTTGTGGTGGGTTCGCTGTAGAAGAACAGGAGGAATTGGATGAGGGTGTTGATCCAGTGTACTTCACTGGATGGTAGGCCTTTCTTTTTGAAGGGGTTGCAGTACTCGCTGTTTTCGTTGTGGAGTGAACAGTTCCATCAGTAAAAGTGACCGTCATAGGTTTTCGACATTCAGCAGAAATAGTAAGACTCCCACGTATACTTACATTTAATGAATTTTCCACAGAGAGGGCGTCTGAAATTGCCCGTCGAATAGACACACTCAGCATGTCTTCAAGTTTTTCCTGGTGGGTGGATGGTTTGCGTAAGGAAAGACAAAGGGAAGTCCCGAGAAGATTCGAAAAAATATTGAAAAATTCTGCTTTGCGTAAAAGGGAAAAGTCGGGAAACGATTCTATCGACCGATGTCCAGGAATCACACTGTCCGTTGCAGGTAAATTAATAGCGGGAATGTTACTCTGAGAGATTGGCATATTTTCATCAGCATCAATCACATTTGAAACCGCCTGTGCCTTAATAATAGTTTCCACGTCAAACTTAATTGGAGGGCTCTGCATTATACTATATCTAAATACAAATACAGAATAGCTAATAGATACTTTCGCACACTACAGCATAACGGGACATCACACTTACCAATTTACGAGTCGGTTTGCAGCATATGATCTAAACAGCACCATTCTCGCGGTTAAATAGCAGACAAGGTTTGATTTGGCCAGCCAATCAAAGTTGAGCTTGCATCTGTCCGTAAGGGGATGGAGCTGTGCGCGGATTGGTTGAAGATGCAGCCAATTAAAAGTGCAGTATTCCTGAGCACAATAAGGGGAACAGTCGGTAGAAGCTATTTGAACAAGTCTCTCCAGTCTCACCTAGTTTTGAAACATTTTTCAACTTGGGCTTTTTTGATCACTCTAACGCTACTTTTCCCCGAAAATATAGGTCAGGTGCTAAATTTTGAGCGTATAATCGTAAGAAAACTAACGTAGTACCTAACAAACAAATGTAACGTTATGGAAATTATTCAAAGGATTAAAATTCAGTCAGTGTTTCCCACTTTTACGTCTTCTCATAGCGCAAGTTTGGTAGTGTTGTAAGGAAAGGAGACAATTTTGAGATTTTGCGATCGCTACTAAGTATGCTGTAAACCTTTTCCCCCCAACACTACATATTTGATCACGCCTTTAGTGTCTTTTTCACTCAAGATCTGAAGCATTATTTGAAAAACTGCCAGTTACTTGTAATTTGTAGACTTCCAAAAGCATAGTTTAAATATGCCATGTACGTTCCTGAACCCTAAAGTGACTGTTTGCTTGAGTTTTTTAATCAGTGCACCTCTAACTTGCACCTTATGTTTTGTTGCCTAACAAGATTACTCCATGGGGATTTCTGCACGCTCTTCTCGAAGTGCGTTCGAGTGACGTTGTGTTAGCGGTGGCAGCAGCAGCGGTGCGAGCGAGAACAGCGGAGAGACCACTGCAATTGTCTCGAGTGTTAACGCGACGTTTCTTGCATGCATAATCATGGCAAGGGGAGCTGAATAAGAGAACCTCCTCTTCGCCTCTCTCTGCCTCTTTATGTAGTGATCGGCTAGACCAAGGAATGATACAACCGTGAAGAGACCCCCAAACTTTCGTGAGGTATTGACAATAGCATGAACATGCCCATTAGCATAAGCCTAGGAATTTGCATCGCAAGCAAAGACAGGATCACTTTAGTGCACAAGTTTTAATGCAATGTCCGGCTAAAGTAGTTTCACAAGTCTTAAGACGTATTGCAACCATGTGAAGAGGGTAGAGCTGAATTACTTTGTACAGGGATCAGTAAACTGCTTCAGTTGAGAAGCGCAAATAGTCGTTCTGAAGTGAAGGAATATCTTCTAAAACATGTTTGATGGTTGTAGCATGGGAGCACAACTATACATCAGGGAAGAATAGTTACAAGTAAAAGGCATCAGCCATCTCCTTGATGGTAACAACTACCTCATAATTCTTGCTAAAACATCAGTACTGGTTGTGCAAATTAAAATTTTATTACTCGCGAAACCTCTAATGGCGACGGCTCTCCTCACATTTCGAGATCCTTGCCTAATTGCTAGGCATTGTTTGTTAAGAGTTTAAAACGCGCTGTTTCCTTACTTGTAAGCAATCAACAAAACATCTCCATCTGTCTGTTGGCTTTTATTCACAAAATCAGTCCTATGCGCGAGTTTTTACCAAAGGGTGAAGGAAGAAGTTCTTTTTTCAAAATGTGTACATATTAAACCGAATGCGGACTGTGTAGTACGTTAACACCGTGTAACAGTTGAGGTTATGCCTATCTTTATGCCATGTTCGAGTTCTGGAAAGCAGAACACATGTGATTGTGGCCTGGAGATGAGGGTTCTGGTGGGTACATGGCGCCTAAAGATGTACGGACGAGATGGCGGTAATGGACTCCTACCCTCACCACGTACCCGCACACATGAGTTTGATGTGTTTATGACACTTGCTCAGCAAAGATCACCCACCTCCCATGCAATAAACCCCCATCGGTGCTACTTTTAATGAAATGAAACTCTGAAAACCACCCACAACATCGCGAACCAATGAGAAGCAGCAGCGTGCATGGGGATAAGGGAATAGGGCGATGGCGTACGTTTCCTCTGCGCCATGCGTAGGAGAGGGGAGGAATCGCGCACTCAAGGGCCAATCGTGTCTTCCTACCATCCCCTGTTGTAATCGATGGGATCGCTATTTTTATCAGACACACTAGTACGGAATAATTATTGCACCCAGTATATTATGCAATTTAGTATCCTTATCACAATGTTAACGTTAAAAACGTTTAGAAGGCACTCATTTGAGCCAAATCAGGGTAGGACAAAGTGGCCTCTTTTGTACATACGCATCGTTTTAAAAATTGCTCCACATAAGGCGCCTAAAGGAGAAGGTGAAGTGTTGATAAAACTTAATCATTTGCTCTGCAGTTTGGATGAGGTGTTACCTTTTCCTCTCTATTTGAAAACAAGAGTTTGAATAGCACTACTGGATGGGTAGCTTCATGCGCCATTATGAGCTTAATGGTCAAGTTGGCAAGTGCGCCAAACTTTAAAACATTTGTCTCAGTTTAAGTGGAAAAATGTTATATTCACAATAACCACATATGTTTAACTTTTGTAACTTTCCTAAATGTACTGCCGGCCAAAGAGTGATGTTGATGTAAAGATCTGTCGAGCAGGGAAAAGAGAAAATTCCTTTGCTGGGATGATTTATCAAATGACGGTGTGCTTCCCGAGGGGAGAGGCACGGGGGATTAACAAGTAAGATCAGGGTGAATCAGACGATGCCACGCCAAAACTATACTCTTATCTCCAGCCGACATGCGGGCAGTAGCCGTCGCTCTCAGAAACACTTAATTGGGAAGGATAAAAGGTGCTTGCAGACTTTGTGTTTTGACCTCCGACCGACTTAGAAGGCACACACAAAAGCATGCATGCTTGCAGGCAGGCTGATGCACAATTCCACGAGTGCTGACTCATCTTGCAGGAGTTGAGGCGGCGGGAAGGCCTGGCATCAACGACCGCCCATTTCAGGTGTGCATTTGAGTGTGTGTGGGTGTGGGTGCGTGTGTGTATGCCTACGAGGGGCTGAACTCACGGCAGTCCGTGTGTGTACACGCGCATGCATTATGCCGTGCAGGTATCAACGCGCTTGTGCACAAACTCCACCACGCCCGATACCCTAAAGGCATTGTCACCGCTTCGATCATCTCTCTCCTTTTTCGCCTTTTGGAATTGAATGCATACCCCAACCCACAAACACCACACCTAAGTTTGTGTTCAAACGAGGCAAAGACATTTTGTTAATGGAACTGCATACCACAACTACAGTGCTGTTAAAAAAGGCACCGTTGTAAAAAAATTAAAATGTAAGATAACATTGACATTCTTAGATTTTAGATAAAAAGAGTCAAAACAGTCTAAATTTGCGAAAAAAAAACAGGCAACAACAGGAAGACTCCTTTGTATTATCACAATAATGAGGTTGAAAGAATGGAAACACTGCGGCTATGAGGCGAGGTTGACTTCTTTGGGTAAAAGGGGAATCCAATGTACCATTTGGATGGCATTTTTACCTGGCAATTGGTAGACTTTGCTAACATGCTTATATGTAATGTGTGTGTGCGCGTCATCTTCCCATACTCCCATTGTGTGCGGGGACGTCGAGGGTGGAATGCATTCCAGATTTTCTCCCACTGCAGATTTGCAACTTATAGTTAAGACAAAACTGATACCACCCATTAAGAGTCACTGCTCCATACGGCAAACACTACTAATCCCTCTTTGTATGCTTCAATTCCATTTCCAAAGTGATCCCCGTCTTTTTTTGAGGTAATATGTGCTATGCGTTCCCATCTCATTTTTAGCACGTTTAAAATTAATCAGATCGTAACTTTGGACAATGCAATAACAAAGAGAGGGGATAACATGTTGATCACGCCTCAACGACAGTTGCCATTTTCAGTCGCATTTTCCTTTTCAGCGGGATCAGCACAACGTGGTGGCAGCTCCGCATGCGTCATCTGCCATGGGCGTGTGAAAGAGACTTTCATTTTGGTCATAGGAGTTCTAGAAACTTCTGACCAATGGCAAAGTGTTAAATGATCAAGAAATTGAAGCGTTTGACAAATAAGCGTTTAAAGCTGTTCAAGCAGGTTTGTGTTGTGCCTTCTGTCCTGAAGAAAAGACTCTTCTACCAAGTGCCTTAGTAAACATTGACTGCCCAATTGTAAATACAGAAGTGTCTCAAAGAAAGTTGACCGCACAGCCGACACGTTCCTTCATTCACCAAAGTGGGTAGCCCAAAATGCCCTTTAATGGGGTCAAGACCGCAAAGAGATGACTGCACTGCACCGTCTTGCGGGGCTACCTTAAAAGACACACATTTAAGTTATGGATCCGATCCAATTGAAAAGGAAAATGAGACCTCTTTAGTGCATTTCCATAATAAACAGGTTTTTTCGTATCCAACCTTAATCGCACCGTCATAAGTTAGTCTAAGGGCGAGGAGAGGCGAATTATTTACATAAGAGAAGGGAATTAGTAGTAGCAGTATAGCACATTAATAATAATAATAATAATCGCAAAGCCCTTTTAAAAGGCACAAAGGATTATCTACGTCTTTTTGGAAACAATGTGAGTTATATTTGCGATTGTTAATAGTGCATGGCAATCAAATACCACCTGGGATAACTGATTACTCTTAGCTCATTCTACGTAATTTCTAAAGTCTCGCCATTTCGTCGCAAGGCACCAGGAATCTAGCTAAGGAATAATATTTGTTTTTGCGAATTACACTGTATCCGAGGTATAAAATAGAGAGCGAGAGAGAGAACGAAACTGTGGTGGAAACAACCGATTCATGCATCATAATAGTGGATGCCAACACCTCAGCACCTTCTTCATCGTACGTCAATTGATGTTAAACAACGTCAATAAAAATCGACGATTAGGCGCCTGTAAGGCAATTGTCATGTTTTGAAGAACAGATTTTCACACATTTTGTATCTGCTAAAATCA